TTTATTCTACCGTGACAACACAGGACACCAGATGAAAAATAAAAGGAACAATTATAAATTCCTTCCCCTAAATCTGTCTCTGGATTAAGAGATGAATGAGGAGGAATAATTATGCTTTAATTATTCACATTTCTCCAAGGCATTTTTCAGACATACTAAAGCACAAGCTCTTCCATACAAAAGCATATCGATGCTGATAACATTCTTCTCACAATCTTAAAAATCACATCAGGCTGACCAAGTCTGATTTAAAAAAGAAATAAATAAGTAAATTGTGTCCACACGATCCTTCTCCCTTTCCCCCTCTCTTCAGTTCTCGTTCACTTTACCTCGACCATTTTTTTTCCAGCCCCAGACATTCCCCTTAAATACTACCATATGCAAATCGTGCGCATGCAATTTGCATATTTAAGTATTTAACTCCGCATATTTATTGGATTTGGAAGCCTGGCTGATCATTGATTTATCCGCCGCTGGCAATCATATTTCCATATTTGTACGATTTTAATGACGGTGATAATTCAAGGATGCACGGAGTATATGTTTTGAACGATATGTTTAATTATGTCCTCAAAGCATCATCACTTTGGCTGGCTGATGACGAAGAAGGGAGAACTGAAGCAAAGAGGGAGAACTTATCAGAAATACGAATGCCTGAAAAACAGCCATTCCCACAAGACGGCAGATAGAAAAGGCGAGATGGCTGTAATTGCTCTGCGGCCACAAGCTCCTAATCACGAAAAATTAAGGTCAAAAACGGAAATAATTTATAGCAATAAAGCTTTGAGATGAAAGAACGTAGAGAGAGATGGAGAGAGAAGCGGAGATAGAAAGGCTGCTAACCTTTGTACATAAACATGTGATTAAGGTTGACACTCCTTCACGACAAATTCAATCACGCTTTGAGAGAGAGGCAGAACCTGGCCCTATGCTATCCAACGGAGAAACTTTCTCTGCCACATCCCTTTATACAAGGTGTCACTATTTATAGGTTCCCCAACGGGAGGAGACGTTCGAAAACATACACGCACGCACACACACACCCACAATGACATTGACTAGCATTTGGCCAGTTGGCTGCATCAAGCTACGGAGAAATGTGCCATACTGAATAGGCTCTCTGAAGAGATCACCGTGTCATTTTGTCATTAACCGTACAAGAAGCTAATTCATTTGATTATTTTATCATGCACAAATTCTGTTACAGCTACAGAACAAAAGAAGAAATCATGCGATATTTACTCTGCATCAAAGTTTTCAATCACTTTGTCAAAATGTGATTCACATTTCGCAATTCCCTGGTTGTAATATTAAACAATATCTGATACATGTAATAAAATGCAATTAGATGTATGCTAATTTCAGAAACGTATGCATAATTAATGTTATCTACACAAAATGTCATTCATTGGCTAGGTGTTCGCTCATTACACTAATTCATTTTAATAGATCCGCACAGTGGGTGGGGCAAGAATCAGTCATAGCCCTTATAATGTCACTGTGGCCAATTCACACCACACATTTTACATTTCATTAAAACTCACACCCCAATCAAAACAGAATATTTTTGAATATTTTGTCTAATAAAAGAGAATAATCAGACTGAACAAAACTGACTAGAATATTAACCAATAATGATGTATTCCTTTAAAACTATAGACTATATTAATAAAGTCTATATTATAAAACGTAAAAACAGAAAACAGATTTTTTTTTTAAACTAATTTGACTACATAATAATAATAAATAATAATCCAATTTTAAATATGTTTTCCAGGGCAGTTTATTCGCTGCCCCAGCCATCTGTGGAGTTATCAGACCTTATGTTTACTTGCTTCTATTCTTCCCCAATACATAATGATTTGAATAGGCCCTTGTGTGTTTCTTATCAGATCTGTCTATGTCTGTGTGTGCGCGTGTGTGTGTGATGCTATCAAATGCCTCCTTGGGGTAAAATAATAGCAGATCTTTGATAATAAAAACAGATATGGTATTAAATAAAATCTAGAAATTGAGATCAGAATTAATTTCATTTTAACAATTATTTAACAAGCTCAAAAACAAACATTATTTACGAACTTAGATTAAATTGTATTTTAAGCTATTTTATCTCTTTCGTTCCTTTTAATAATATACTAAAATCACTGTTTCAATCCATAATCTCATTCAATTTATATTTATTCAAACTATTTTAGAATATTTAATAAACAACAGCGTGTCTCAATTATTTGACCTGTTTCCACATCACTTCACAGTGCTTTCCACAACAAACACACACACACATGATATGAACACGAGTGCACTGCAGAAAAACAGATGTTACAATGCCAGATAGAGACCAAATGTCAGTCTATTCCAAGATCACCTGAACAGTATTTACAAAAGTAAAAGAACACCTGGCAAAAAAGTGGCCAAGATTCAAACTTCACACATCACACACAGACACACCTCACAGATCTTACACCCTCATTATCATCAGTGCTTGTTAATTGCAGCGGTGCTGCTCTCGCAGTGTAAGTCTTCTTTTAATTAAGGTGCTCTATAAGGGGAGTTCCTATTACATGTGCTTTGTCCTTGCCGTAATTGCCCTCCCGACACCCCATTCTCCACTGCCTTTCTTGTTTCTTCCTCCTCTCCCTTTAACGTACGAGCTCCCTGGACATAGTGCCACGGGCCCCCCCGGGGACCTCACCGTCGTCTAGCCTCCGCGTGGCCCAAAGGATCCAACGCGAAAACTCCCCCGTGTGACTCTATAGCGTGTGTAAATGATTTCTCCCGAGCTCTGCACCATAAACACTTCAATTAATATGCTCAACGAGGAAAAAATAATAAATGAAGTTGGTCAAACATCCTTTTTTCATTTTTTTCTGAAACGTCCGGGTGAAATTGTCGCTCTGACATTCAAATCAAATTAGTGTACTTTGACGATGACGCCATATACTGTTAAATCCATTCAAAGACCCAGCTCTTCTTTTGCATGGAAAAGAAAGCTGACGCCATCTACTGCCCAAAAGCGTCCAAACAACCCCGCAGCAGCAACATCTCTATCCAAGCCGGCCTTAATTGGGAAATAATTGCAAATTTTAAAGGGGACAATTTCATCTCCTTGCCTTATCATTTATTTCAGTTTCTTGTTCTGGCCTGACACAGAGAAAGAAAGGGGGAAAACTTCAATTAGCTGCATTCTTGAAAGATGTTCTTCGCCTTAATGTTTCGAGCAAAGAACTTAAATTCATGTAAATAACGAGTCTCAATTAAAAAAAGGGAAGACAAGCCTTGGCCAATTATCCCGGCCCGCTGAGTCTCTTGGGTTGAGAGAGCAGTGGAACTCTACTGGCTGAGTGCTACACATTAGCTCATTGGCTTTTGAACACACAATAAGCAGAAAGCCCTCAAGTCATTAGTAGGGAGCTCTCCATTTCCCTCTAAAGCCTTCTTCGCTGTTACTCTAAATGTGGCGGGCAGCATTTGAAACCGAACACACAGAGGATTGTGGCAATTAAATGTTTCTTTAAAAAAAATTATGAATAAAAGACTTTCGAATTTCTTTTCAGTACTGGGTGGCCTAATGAGGGATAGAAGATATGTAGTATAGTTAAATCAGTCATTGTATTAACAAGTTGATTGATAATTGAAAATATATGCTGTATAAAATAAATGTAACACATTATTAAATAATACATTATTAGTAGTAGTAGTAGTAATAATAATGTATTTAATCATTAGAATTTTAATTTAATAAATACACTTTGAAAATTGTTCAGTTGTGTTCTATTTAGAAGGTTATTTATGCCTTGCATAAATGTCTGCACAAATGCACAATACTCTCATGTTTAACAGGTAATTTCAATTTTGTAAGTTTAAGTAATTAAATTATGGTTATGAGACATTTAATTAAAACTAAATCCATAAAATGATCCCATGATATGAAAACCTAAAAATATGACATACGTAACAGAACCCTTTAACTTTTCCTTCTAAAACGATAAGTGGAATGTGTCCTGGAACAAAAAACAACACTCAAAAGAGGTATTCAATATGTGTATTTAACAAAAGTCTATAGAAAAAAAAAGCATAAAGCTGAAAGTATATTTATAAATGTATATTTATAAATGGAGTCTATTTATTCCATCGTGGAGGTGCGCCTGCTAATTTTGTAAATGCAATGATGTGTATAAATGGTTAAAATAACAGGGGTTTGTCAGCTTCAGCTGCTAACATGTCATGTTCTTATTGCTTGTAATCAAATCAAAGTCTTGCAAGGTAACCAGAAGTTAACGTCGTGGCAGTGTTATAAAATCTGCATGTTTCTGAGTTCATATTCACAGCAATACCCACTCTTTCCATTTTTCTTTTTCCATTCTCCTCTGCCGTACCCATTTCTTCTGCGTTTTATCTTTTACGCTGTTTATCTTGTGAATTCCCTCACATATTTCCTCCTCACCTCCTTGCATCTTTCTATCTCTATTCCCCGGTACCCTCTGAAGTGAATGCACAAATTACATCCCTCCACCTTTTTACTCTGCACTAAATCTTTCCTTTTTTCCACTTTGCTGAGCTTGAATATTTCATTCCCCCCATCAAATATGCATCCCATTAATTAAGTGAAATTACTCCCGACTGCCAAATATTCGCTGCCGATGACTGTCAACACAAGATGCACGGCTTTGAACTTCTAATGACACGGCCTCACTTTCAGCTGAGTTACAGCCTTCAGAAAAGCGTCCGCGGGCACGCGATCAACGCCCTTCCTCGATGCCAAAGCCTGGAATTAAGTGCCGGTTTCTTTTTCCTCCGGCTTTTCAACAAGCCTCACAATGGATGACACGCACACACTTGACAAGCAAGAACTTCCATTTTAATTATATACCTTTTCCTCATCTTTTAATTGCTGTTGTTAATCAGTCATTAACTTCTCCCGCCCCCTCCCGAGCCCGAATCCTAAATCTCCCGCGCAACGTCTCAATAAATTCCCGCGCGCCCCTCCCCCGCGGCGGCTCTAACGTGTAATTTTATTTATTTTTAAAACTGTCATTTTTCCAAACAGAGGTATTTGTTATTTGTTCCAAAGGGCTTGACAGTAAGGGGATTTTAATCATAACTTGCATTAAATTATCAGTCTCCGGATCTGTCAAGAGGATAAATTCAAGACGACGCTAAAGACGCCGCTATTGAGTAATTGTGTTCTGGGCAACACTAATATTACCACTGACTGATTCCAAACAATGGTGATTGAGCTATAGGGCTATTTGCCTTTCACCCTCCCTCGATAATTCCAACCTGTCCGAAAAGCAAAAGGACTCGATATGAGTACAGATACAGGGGTGACAATGGGCCTATTTGTCTCTCCTCCCTCTGAAAGGAAACAGATGTTTCTAGAGGAACTGACTTCTGGATTAACATGAGCCAAAGCGGTATTTTAAACGGGGTGGGAGTGGCGTGCTGATATGATATGACAGACAGGGCCGAGATGGCTTGACAACAGCAGGAAGGGCTCCGAAAAAGATCTCAGTACACCACGCTGGGGCGATTGAAGACCCCTGCGACAAAGTGAAAAAGGAACTTTTAATGACTGTGAAAAATAATCATATAGAAACATTACAGAAACCCTGTGGCATATTTACACAGACACCGACCTGTAAAATTGATATCTTTTTCAAAATCATGGCGCTTCTTAATATTGTTATTCAACCCATACGCATCACAGAATAGTGCTAACCAATAATTACAATCTATGAGCTGGCGGCATGGCCATGACAACAGTACTTAAGTCTTGTTAATATAGGGTGTCTGTTCTGGCCCTTGTGGCAGATTGTGTGAAGTAACTTCCTCCTATGTTGTGAAAGAATATGAATAATGAGCTACTAATCATTAGCGTCGTCAGGAAACCCAAACTAAAACTGATTATTAGTTTAGGCATCATTTTCCGTGCTCAGGTTGCGAAGGATCAACGCAAACTTTGTGCAACTTAAATAATTGAATTTTTGACGTTTTGCCACCGGCTGCTTCCCAACTGAAGAATCGGGTTGTCGGGTCCAGGGCGTGAGCGGGGAGGGCCGAGAAAGCCCTGAGAAACAGATACGTGGCGTCTAGACAAATTATAACCTCATCTGTTTTGCCTAATGAATTATGCAAAAAGGGGACCTGGCTTGGGCTTGGCTAAAAGTAAATATTTAATATTCATCCTCGCAGTCTGAAATTACAAAACACTTTGCTTGGCTAAATGTTTCTCCACCCTGGCGAAATTGCCCATTTTGGCCAATTTAGTTCATGTGTCTGAAGACGTTGATTTGAATATATCGAGCTTTTAAAGCCGACCCGCTTTGGTGAGACTCTTTTTGTTGTACAGTAACCACAAATAAATGGCTTTCACAATTAGAGGTTTAAATAATGCAATGGCTCATGTTCAGTCCTAAGCAGGATTCCAATGAGCTTTCTAATGCATGTAATGATTAAGTGTAATTCAAATACCAACTGTGTTGTTCAAAATCTGACAGGCAATAATTTGCTCTATTATATTGTGCCATTTAATTGCCTGCTACCGACAACCTCTGACGTGCCATGAAGCAATGATTTACAATTACTCCAGCAGTAAAGATCAGGGGATGACAATATAATCATCTACACAGAGATCCCTTCTCATCTGCCACAACTAGTGAGGCAAGTAAAAATAGTTTGGAGCTTGTAGTTTTAACTCCACTCTATTTGAGGATTAGAAGATATTACAGCTGCGGAGGACGTTTAACAATAGCAGTTGTGTTAAGAGCTGGCTGCGGCGGGATGAGGCGAGTCAAGATGTCGGTTTGCTGTCAGGGACAGGCCTCACGCGCTAACGGAGGGACATTATTGTTGGGGGCAAAGCGTTACTGATGTCGGAGTTTAATCTAAATGAGGAAACGCCAAGTGGAAGATCAAGCAACAGACTCTGTTTCCCCATCCATCCTCTTACGAACTCCGTAAGACTTTATTACCATATAAATGATAAAGGATAACGTACGGGGAAAAAAGTATGCAATAATTGCGCTTCCCCATGTTGCAGTCTGATGTAAATGTTTCTAAAAGACAAAATAAGCAAATCGACAGACTCCAACTAAGTTAAGTATCGTGCCCTAATTTTGTGTGTGGAATTATGGAAAACAAGTTTACTCCATATTAAACCAATGTTTCACAGCATTTAAGGAGCTGATACATAATTTAGCGCTTACAAAAACGAGCACAGCATGTTGGGGAGGGGGGGGGGGGTCCTTAGAGGGAAGGCAAGGCTGCTGAGTGCACTGCCTGTTTAAAAATGATGGAGGAGAACAGGGGATTCTCATTAAGTGGCTTCACTCCACCCCGAGCAGCAGACACTAGAGAGAATGCAGACAAAATCACAGGCTCGTGTTTCCCCATTAAATATGAAGGATTGTGCAATATGTGCAGGCAGGCAGTTTGCCAGGGTCAGCCGTCGCACTCTTTCTGCTGTTTCTGCAGGTCATGTCATGATGACCGACTTTACCCCGTGTTCAATCAGTTCCTTGTGTTTTAGAAGATGGGGCAGGAAAATAATAACACGAGGCAGGGGGACTTTTAATGAGGACAAATTAGACTTAGGCAGCAAAGAGCTGCGAGGGACGAGAAGTTTCATTACATGACCTACATGGGGAGAACGTTTTTCAAACTCATTGACAGGAAGATCGGCCTTGATTTCAACTTCACTTCCTGTCGAAACTGAGAGAAAGTACCAATGAAAAGTGTTTCAGCCACTTGACGATGTCGTTCAGTGGGCACTAAACTTTTGGACACTTAAAATGTGTAGTCCAACACATTTACTTCTCAACAAGTGTCCATCACATTTACTATGGACATGTTCCACAAAAATAACCAGAAAAATTATTCAATGTTTTGTTTGGAAAGCGTTTTTGTGTTATCTTTCACTAAACTAAATTCCTCTTGATTTTACACCTTCTTATAAAATTAAAATTATTGGTTTTTTCAACACAACATAAACAAATCTATTTTGAAAACTGTCTCAGTATCTTTATGTCCATTCAATAAAAGTCAATAGAGTGCAAAACAACACTGGACCCTCATTGTGTGGACACCGAGACATTTTTCAAATACAATCTTTTTGTGTTTTACAGAAGAAAGTAAGTCACGTTTCTGGTCAAAGCGAAGGCTAAACATACACATACAACATCAACCGTGCTTTGACAAATCATAGATCCGAAATCAGTCGGCCACCTCATAACCGCGGTGAACCGAAAGCTGAAACCGATCCCAAAGTGCAGCTCGGCAATCGCTCACCGGCACTACTTGACATGGCTTTTACTTTGATCTCCCCTGTCTCCGATTCATTGGCTGCCGACTTCACTGACTCCAATCTGACCCAGATAAAGACTCTGACCTTTCCGACCAACTCCATTACATGCAGCTGTACTGGGTACAAGCTCTTAAACGACTGCGGTTTAAATGTGGCCATTACTGGAGCCGGTGTCTGCAAAGATTTCATTGTCACAGCCCGGCAAAGGGAAGATGGCCACACAAAATGACTCTTGACCTTCATTTACATTCGTTAATCAAATGTCACACAGAGTCTGCGTTTTATCAGCGAGTCCGTGTCTATCTCCGGAGATGATTTGTGTTTTCAAACAGGTAAATAGAAGGGTCTGCTACCGCGACGTGTGCAAGGAAATGGCTAAAGGATAATTGTGGAGAAAATCCAGCGGAGTTTGCCGCTTTGGGCTGATTCTGAAAACAAGATGCAGGTGAGATGAGATTTATTCAGATCATTAAGAGAGAAGGAAGATTGAATCTAATTATAGTCCACACAGCTGAAGCGAGAATCTGCAAAACAAGTCTCGGATAAAGTGACCAGTGCCATTTTGTCATATATAAATAACACGGGAGCTCACCAACGGATTCGTTCCAATAGAATAAGCATGTCGTGAACAGCACAGCTAATGACCTGAGTGGTACATTTTGCATTCTAATTCATTCAGCACCTAATTGTGAGTGGACACCACAGATAGCCGCCCTCTCTCTCCTCATCTCTCCCCAGACTGCAGAGAAGCCCTGCTCAGAAAGGTCAAAATGGCCGACATTAATCAGATCGCCATATCCACAACCCCTCCCCGCCATCGTTACTGTGCTAATCACTCTGGGTTTGGTTGCAGAGAGGTTTACTCCTAATTATTGTCATTAATAAATCAGACGAGTCAGGCTGTCGGGATGAAAGAGAGGCCGTCCCTGCTTGCCATCCATCAGAGAGGCAGAGTGCAGGAGAGTCCAGTCATTAAGAAGCCTTTGAGACACACGGCCGCATTGGGGACTCGGCAGCTCAGACAATAATACGCCTAACTTTTTCATCAACCTGTGGCTTTTGCAACCAATCAGGAGACGTGGATCCCAGAAAATCATCAGTCACGTACAAAGGAGTTAAAAAAAAGAACGAATGTTGCAGAAAGCAGGGCGCTGTGGGATTTTGCAAGAGCAACTGTCTATATACATTACATAGAGACATCCAAATGTCTGAGAACACATTGAAAAAAAAAATAGGAAAGAAGTAAAGTTCGAAACTGTTTAAACACAAATGGAAGCATCAATTACATTTTTTCAATTTCAATTCAACAAAAATCATGCTGGATAGCATGGGAAATTTCAAATCAAAATGAAATTATTAATAATTAACGAATGAAAATGATTGATGAAAATTATCAATGAAAATTTAAATTTTAATGATTTTATCAATGTTGAGAATGTCAAAATGTATTAGAAAATTAGCATGGGAAATTTCAATATATTTCATAAAATTTATATATATATATATATATATTATACCTGTAAAAGAATGCACAATAAAAGCATTTTTACTAGTGGTTTCACTGATACCAAATTTGTGATCTATTTAAATTTTAATGATTTTATTAATGTTGAGAATGTCAAAATGTATTAGAAAATGTTAAAATAATATTATTTACTATATAAATAATTTTCAAATTTCACAGTGGATACCAATAAAAAAAAGAAAAAAAAAGAAATTACCACACACACACACACACATTACCGTGCAAAAGTTAGCAGTTTTTTAAAGAAATACTTTTATTCAGAACTAAATTAATCAGTAAATTGTTTGGTAGTAAAGACATTTATTTATATTGTGAAAAAACATATATTTCAAAATTTTTTTTTTTAGATAATACTGAAAAATGCACCGGCTTCCACAAAAATAGTCAAATCAGCATTAAGGATCATGTGACTGAAGAAGACTGGAGTAACTTTTTTGTTGTTGTTTTTTTAAATAAGGATGAGGATAATCTTTGCAAATTATGATGATGTAGATGTGCATTTTATTCACAGATGACATCTAAATTCATCACATTCTAGTGCCTTAACCTCTGAACAGAAATATTCACTCAACAACCAGCAACCATCAGTGTGCTTGTTTCCTAAACACATGCAGACACACACGCTCACTCGGTTACCATGCATGTTGAGGACACCAGCTAAAACGTGCCGTATATCTGTGTGTGTGTGTGTGTGTGTGTGTGCTTCCCATGCCGCAGGGAGAGAGAGATGGAGAGAGACGTGGCATCGCGCTGCCATCACATCTCATCAAATTAAGGAAGTCCATTCCACTTAAACGAGTTCTGTGAATCTAAAATCGACCATTAATGCAGTGTCATGTTAAATTAATACTGTCATCTAAATTACTGGTATGAATCTTTCACATTTGAAATGAGACCAAGAATGACTTATTCATTCTCTGCTATCTCCTCTGATGTCATCCCCATTAAACATAACCAGGCGAGCTGTCTTGGCCTAATTGTATTAGAGTGTTAAGGGAGTGTTAGGCTGTTCAGAAATCATCATTTAGTATGCTGATCAACGGCTTTAGAGAACTGAATAATATCTGAAATGAGTCGCGCAACGAGGCACGCCGCAACTGACAACGCATGAGAGAGAGACATCAAGGAAAGGCGAATGCCGGACAGTTATGTCCACAAACATTTTATACAGTGAAAAGAAGTAGCTCAAGAGTGAGGTGATTGACTTAAGTGCCTACCATGTGTTGTGCCAATCTGACATCTATTCAAGATGTAAGGAGGTGCAACCCAGACACGTGCCCTGGCATCTCTCCAGCAGCAAGACGAGTCTTTATAAGCAGGAAATGTTTGACTTCCCTGAAAGGAAAAGGGCAAACACTGTTGAAAACTTTTAAAAATTCAGATTTTTTTTAAATTAATGTGTAAGAGAGACAAGCTAATGTAATCTGGTAATGAGCCAGACCTCATAAAACTAGTGGAGCTCAACTTCCTCCTTCAGTTTTATGGAGGCTGGCAGCAGGTGAGACTGATCCTGATATTCTGTACAGCACATCTCATGTTAGACAGACAAAAACGTGGTGAAATGTGTATAGTTTGAGGTTTGAAATGAGCAATGTAATCATAATAACCAACATGAACAAAAATGTGATACATAAACATGTGCATAGATTGTGCAAAACTCACAATTAAGGAACTGGCACTCTTTCATATCATGACAAGAAGTTGAACTCTAATTTAGAATAACAGGAAGAGGAAATTAATAAATTGCATTTTAAAGAAAATGCCTGGGAAATGAAGTGTTTATAGCCAAAAAGCTTAGTCCAAAAAAGCTTAATTTATTAGGTAACACTTCATTTTAAGGTGATCTAGTTACATTGTACTTAGTTACTCCTGAGTAATATTAATTAATTAACCTACATAACGTTACATAATATAGAGTTCCGGATAGGGTTTGGTTTGGAGTTAACTTAAGGGCTACTTGTAATCATGCATATTTACTGTTAAGTACATGTAGTAATGTGTAACCATTAATTATATTTATTTATCATTTCTATAGGTGGCATTTTAAAAATATCTATCGCCTCAAAACCTTAAGGTCTGTTCAAACTTTTTTAACAAGCCTAAATTCAGTGTTTGTCTCAATAAATTGCCATTTAAAAGGCATTCACAGTTCAGTTCTGAATACAATTGAATTCATAGAATATTTGTCATGTTTAAATGTCATATCTTGAAGAATAATATGTCTTCTTACTTACCTCAAATGTGCTCTTGCGTAGGCTGTCTAACGGCTCTCTGACCTGACCATTTACCCACCAATCTCAGTCCTGGAGGGCCACTGTCCCTGCAGAGTTTAGCTCCAACCCTGATCAAACACACCTGAGCAAGCTAATCAAGGTCTTCAGGATCATTAAAAACTCACAGGTAGGCGTGTTTGATCAGGGTTGGAGCTAAACTCTGCAGGGACAGTGGCCCTCCAGGACCGAGATTGGTGAACCCCGACCGTGACGTCTGCAGAAATCATCGCTCAAAAGTTTGGAACAACAATTTCAAAGCCAATGTCCCTGTTAACCGTAATAGTCCCTACAGTTATGGACAAAAAAATGCTACAATAAACGGTTACAGTCCTACTAAAATGCAAGTGTGATATCTGATATTCACTATTTTAAAAATTACTTGAAAAGCTTCTTGCCCGTTTTGATATGATTTCGATATTCATTCATTTCAGTTTTGCAGTATTAAAAACGTGTTATTTTGGAAGAATCTGTTGACATTTAATTTAAAAAAGAATACGGTTTCAGGAGCGCTTCAAAAATTAAATCCCCGCAAATCAAGTGTCCTGGTTGCAATCTGACAATATCAAGCATTTGTTGCCATCTAGTGGCAAAAATGAGAAAAGGCTACTGCTCGCATGAAGCATAATGTAACAACCACCCAAATAATCTTAGTGCTGCTTTAAGGCCTTCTAAAAAGTTCCCATTGTCCCAGCTCCTTAGACTAGAAGGACCCTATAGGGACCTCCACATAGCCTGCCCTACCCAATGGCCCCAGGGGAGTGAATTTAAACATTGACCCTGTTACAACTGTTAACTTACTTTTCTCTGCTGAAACGTGGCAAAAAAGATTGTATTTGCTGATACAGAAGAACAGTAGTTCTACAGGTAAACAAAAAGACTCAAATATTGCATTGGTACAAGCTCGCAATGACTGTTGCTCAACAATCCATTCCAACCTTTTTTCTCATCACATAAAAGCAGCAACTCCATTTCATGGCCAATTTGAAATCATAGACAAGACAACCTGTGTTGGCTGTGAGGTCTGACATTCTTGAACTAGCCAGTCCTGATGAAATGTGGCTCTGCTCCTTACAGCAAGGCCTGGTAAACAGTTTTGTATTCAAATTCTCCTGCTTTGTAACTCTTCCTACTGACAGCCATTGCCACAGGCCAAGATGTCTCACAAAGCCAATGTGCATTTCAACATGGTGTGTTCAAAACAAAAAAAAATGTCAGACGAACTGAAACTGTTCTGAACACTAGCAAAAGAGGGAGAGATGTAAAAAAAAAATTCTTAAGGGCAGAGATAGGCTGTCTGGTTACATTTAGAGACTGGGTGTCATGGGAAAATAGCGCCACCAGACAAGTTTGTCCATTTGGATTCATCTACCTCGCCTGGCTGTGGTTGCACCGTTCCTGGGGCTATTAAGAAGGAGGTACAGGATAGATGTGACCTACCGCTCATAGAGGGCAGAACTACCAGTGTGCTGTCAGTCCACCTGTGAGCATCAGACATCAGAATGCACATAAACAAGCAGGTTCACTACATCAAATCCTATTCATGACAATTTAAATGCACCATTGTGAAAAAGTGTGTAGATATGTTTTCTTTAATGTGTACGGGTTTAAAGATATACTCAAACTCACATGATGAACGGTTGCATAAAAAAAGCTTTTTACAATGATTCTTACTTATATTGGTCCAAATATAGATGTGTTGGAGATATATATATATATATATATATATATATATATATATATATATATATATATATATATAGTACTGGCATTTCTGAATGAGAGGTGGCTTTTAGATGCTTTTGTATCGGAGGTCTTCATATATGTCTGGTGGTGCCATTTTATATATATATATATATATATATATATATATATTCAAAAGTTTGGGGTTAAACATTTTTTGAAAATGTTACATGTTTTGAAACATTTTTTTTAATATCAATGTTGAAAAATGAACAGAATTTTTTTATAACATTGTATAAGGTCTTTACTACCTCTTTTAACCAATTTAATAAAAACTTTTGAACTTTATTATTTTGCTTAAATATATATATATATATATATATAGTACTGCCCTTCGGAAGCTACTTACATGTTTACAGGAATATCAATTGTATTTTTTTATGTCAATATGTTAACATTTTATGTAAAAAACATCTTTTTCGAAACAGCACTAAATAAAAAATAACATGCATTTTGTATGATCGCTCTTATTTTGTTAAAATTATTCACAAACTTGCATGTGTAGCTCTCTAATATTTTAATGCATTATATTATCTATGTACATATACAGGATATGTAATGGATGTGTATATAGATAATACATAATACAAAAATGTTAGAGCAACACATGAGAGTTTATCTGTTCAATAAATTACCTAACTCACCTGTTGAGTAATAAAAAAGCCACATTTCAAAATCCCTCAGTAATCGTCATTTCCGAAAAGCCAAGCCGATGTTTATTCTTGTTTTATAACAAGCTCTGGTGTGTTCTCTTTTTGCCAACAGTCTCTCCACTCATTTTTTTTAAAAGGGCGATCCCCCTGAGGTTCGAGATTTAGCTACTCCTTGTCAACCTTTCTGGCTTGTTGTGACAACTAACCTATGCCACTCCCTCACCATACATGCTTCAAAGTAGCCACGAAAACCATTCCGTGAGGTCTAAAATATAAACACTCATAATAGGCTTGCCAATGGGATGGACAATGTTTAACATTTTGTTCATTTTGAACAAAATAAAAGTTACACAGTGTACCTTTAACGATAAACTATTAACTCTTGAGCACTTAGAACACTTAAATTGTTCTCAAAATAGTCCACATTCAGTGAATAACGGTAAAAAAGAAATAATCTAAAGTCAATCTAATCAAAGTTCAGTTTTAATTTGCATGTTATACAGTAGGTGTGCATATGCCATACGTAAACAGATTACACCAGATAAAAGATTATCATATATACCATATTAAAGGATATTCCAGATATACCCAAAAACGAAGAGTCTGTTATTACAAGGGTGAAAAATTTCAGGCAGACACCCAAATGTTGCTGCTACTAGGGATATACGAGCCTGAAACAACAATGTATGCTGATTTGGTCTCACCAGTTTTTTTAAAAACACTTGCTTGGTTTATTTAGAGAAAACTGGACCAAAGAAAGAAGTTTCCGTTAGCTAAGCAGAGATACTTCGTGGAAGTAAGCTCCCAACATCTTGGTGCCCTGTATATAGTTTGATCTGTAAAGAAACAGAAAAAAGGAAAAGTATTGAAAAAAAAAAACTTTAAAGCATCACAAATTCAAATAAGTTTTGCATAAATAAAGCTGGCAGATGATTACAGTAGCTATCATACGCAGTCTCATGCTCTAATATCATACTATCATGCAAGATGTTTGTCATACTGTAGCTATGCGTAAACCTCACCTGTTGAGTTTTTCGTTCTGCGAGTGAGCGCCATCATCAGAGGAACCAACAGGCAGCAGCATCACATTCTGGCCAGTTGCTTCCTGGAAGGTTAGAGCCACCGGGATACTTCCTCCCTCACGGGTCAGGTCAGGCTCCACGCCAAACACTTACAGAAAGATACAGAATTAAGTTAGACCACAAATAAATTGTGTTTGGGAAAAAAAGCTAAACTATAGGTTTGACAAAACAGAATCAAGGTAAAAATTAACCAACATTTTGTAAATATCATGCATGGGTTAAGGATGCATTACAATATCCATGGGCTTTTTTTAAATCAATATAAACTGGAGGTCATTGTTCATTATTTTATGAGTTTTCACTTTTTATAATCACATTTTTCCCCCCTTCATTAAATTGATTAAAAATGTAATTTATATTGGGTAGTTTATATAATACCGGTCCAAATAATTCCATATATTATGTCCATATAATACTGGGTAGAATATAAATGAATAGGGGCCAATTAAAGCAACAGACATAAATATGAAATATTAAATTAAAATAATTAAAATAGATTAAAATGGCAAACAAAATATCACATCTTATGTGAACTTTAGGTATTTTATGTCAATGTAGACTAGCATAAGATCAGCAATCTTGTATCTACAGCTATACCATGTATTATGTCTTACCAGTCTTCATGGCCTTTCTGCCAGCCATGTAGTGAGGATGGTTAAAGTCAGACACCCAGGCTTTGGCTCCATGTCCCATGAACACTTTCAGTTTGTTGGGACTTTTCAATTCCGCAAACTTGCTTTCCAGGTGAGTAATAACCTGTAAGAAAGGTAGAACATGTCAGCACAAGAACATTTGTAGCACAAGTCTGTTAAGTATGCAGATGACTCTATGTGAGTTGTAGAGCATTACATAAACCTTCAAACCTGTTTCTCCACAACTTTGGGATCCATGTCAGGGACAAGGCGGATGGAGAACTTGCCATTGACCTTGCGGGGGATGACAGTTTTGGCCCCGGCCTCGGAGAACGCTCCCTCTATGCCGTGCAGAGACAGAGATGGGTATCTCCAACGATGCATGAGAATTTGCTCCTGCACAGACAAATCAATATATTATTAGGTTTATTATACACATCACTGAACATAAAACATTAATTTACAGAAAAGTCAGGCAGTCTGATTAAATCAGGGAATTTTTTAAACATGCTATCATATCATATTCAAAATATATTCCAATAAATAAATACAATTTGAATCTGTTATTTTAGCAACATTGATATACTATTTTATTTTTGTTCATATTTTGATTCAATTTGTTGTTTTTTTCTCATATTGTTTTATTTTTGAAATGTCTATATAGTTTTAGTTAGTTTAGTTTTAGTTATTTTAGTACTTCAATTTAAAAGAAACAAAGAAAATGTAAAACATTGCCTTGCCAATTAGTTAAACTTAGTTTTTTTCTGTTAATGTTCTTTTTTTAAGAACCATATTGAATGGTTTTAGTTTTAGTGAATAAAAATAACCCCGATTTAAATGAACAGAAACATAAATATTACATCAGCAGACACTGAAAATATGGAAAGAGAGGGGTGATTTACTTTGGTGTCATGCAGGAGTTTGCCAGCCCCAACATCTTTAGCGTATTCTTCCATGTCAAACTCAATCATTTCATAGAGCTTCTTCTCCTCGTCAGTTAATTTAGCCACATGGTCGTATATCCCTGGTACCATAATTTTCCCCTTGTTATCCACCAAAGTGCCTAAAAATATAACATACTTAATACACTTTCAGCATTGTATAAAAAAATAATAAAGTAATGGTACATCAACAAACATCCATAGCATTTTTTTAAGGTTCCTTAAAGGGATACTACACTTTTTTTTGGAAATAGGCTCATTTTACCACTCCCCCAGAGTTAAACAGTTGGGTTTTACCGTTTTCTAATGTATTCAGCTGATTTTTTGATATTTAGAAGAATATCAGTAACCAGACAGTTTCTGGTCTCATTGACTTCCATAGTATATTTTTTCCTACTATGGAAGTCAATGAGACCAGAAACTGTCTGGTTACTGATATACTTCTAAATATCAGAAAATCAGCTGAATGGATTTGAAAACGGTCAAACTCAACTGTTTAACTCTGGGGGAGTGGTAAAATGAGCCTATTTCCAAAAAAGTGGAGTAAATTGTGAGATAAGCTTAGCTGACAGGTAACATTAGCAGGTCAACAAGAAAGATATCCCAGTGTAATCAATGCAATCTAGGAAATCCCTGTCATCCTGAATAGTTTTATGACCAACCTACTGATCCTATTTCCACCAAAGGAATATCTAGCTATCAGTCTCACCCATCAGAGATATGAGGTCAGTCATGGCCTCATGAACAGATCCTCCAAACACACCAGAGTGAAGATCTTTATCACAGCAATCCACCTGAAAATGTAAAAGATGTTTCTCAGCCATTTGAAAACTCTCGAATCTTTGCCTTTGCTCTTTAAGTGCGATTATGAATAGTGATGAATAAAAGGTAGATTAATCAGGTAGTAAGCGGCAATTTTGTGATTATCGAAATTAACTTAATTTATTATATATATATATATATATATATATATATATATATATATATATATATATATGAAGAGTTCAGATGCAAAAGCCTCTAAGTGCCATTTGAAATTTTCTTCTAGAATGATAATTTTTATCTTGTATATCTAAGTTCAGTAATTTCACTTAAATGACAATTAATAGGTAATCCACTTTGCCATTTAGGTGAAATTACTGAACTTAAATATACAAGCTTGATAAAAATGATCATTCTAGAAGAAAATTTCAAATGGCATTTAGAGGCTTTTGCATCTGAACTCTTAATATATATATATATATATATATATATATATGACGGTGCAAAAGTCTTAAGCCGGGTGCACACTGCGATTTATATTAGTCCTTTATGATTGCTGCTTGTCAGACTGTACACACGTGATCACCACTTTAAGATCTCAGTTGTCAGTAATGTCAAACTGGCGATCAAGGCGCGTTACAAACGGACGCACTCGAGAAAACTTGTCTGCAGTTTTACATCATCAATTAATGATATGTTCAGGGACTATGAGCTGCTTTAAAAAATATTGCAATTAGATTATTATTTAAAATCGTTCAGCCCTAGTTTTAAGCCAATTACTTATATATTTTACTGTAGTGTGTTAGTAGTCATAAATACATTTTAATTATCAATTAACTAAATCAAATCAATATTTGCTGTAACCACCCTTTGTATTTACAGGCCTATTCACACCGGGATGAATTTCGCGTGCGTTATTCGCCGACGTTTAACGTCTCGTGACTAAACGAAGGGCGCCAATGTGAGTGTTCACACCGACGTGTAAAACGGCACGCGTAAAAGCGTCATTTTTTAAAAAATTGCCTCGGGTTCGTTTTTTTAGTTTGACGCGCCACGTCAAAAACCATCCGACCAATGAGATTGGCACTTTTGCTCACGTGTTTGGAGCTTCTGAAGTTACAGTAAAACACAACTTGGGGGCGCTCAAACACGGTCTCAAACGGTCTTGCCGAGCACACATACGGAACGGAGAAGAAGATATATGCCAAGTAGCGTCGCCGTCTATAGACGAATCTGGCGGAACTACCGGAAGTAAGCGGGGCGCCATTACTGAGCTGTTGCTGGGTAGCGTTGCGCCATTGCCTCCTATTGTTTTAGTTGCAACTTGCGTCCACTGGAATAAACAGCCCGTGATTTACGACTGTCACTAACGTTACAACGTTACCCCTTGTATAATGTCGAGTGGGTAAACAGTTTCTGTTATAAATTGTTTCAATGGTGGCAGTAAAATTTCAATTTTGAAGAGAAAACATTGTGAATACCCCGGGTCGACTGCCCCTGTCTGGTGCCGTACGGTTTACACAGATTTCTTGGGCGAGTACAAGACGCGGACATTCTTGTATAATAACAATTATTTAATGACATAAGTAAAAAAAATATAATAAATATGTGATATAGTGATCAGCAAAATCTCCTCTCTTGCTATTTTTTCTATGCAATTAACATGCTATGGTCATTAAATGGCTTTCCTGAGCTAAATGTAACGTTATGTGACATAATTGTTTTCCTGCTGTTATATTGACCTCTTTCCATGGTTTAAAAACACTAATTGGTCGATATTATGTATACTTTCTAGCTGTAACGTTACCTTACCCTTGCCTGTTGCAATGTGAAAATGAGATAAATAATGGACACAAATGAAAAACATGAATTTGTTTATTTGATTTCATTCATTTATTTATTTATTGTTGCCAAATGGACAGATCTTTTTATAGTTTCCTCGTTAGCAAACGTTAGCCTAGCTAGCTTGCCAAGCTATTTTCATAAATAACGTTAATCTGTAAGATCGTTTGTACCTTCATCTGTGACTGGAGGCCACTGCAGTCACAGAACAAACCAACAAGTCATTCTGCCTGGCTGTAGCTGTCATCGAGGGTGAGTTCGCGTTATCACCGAGGTTTGTTTACATACCGGTGCATATGTCTATGCCTGTGTAACAGCTCAGTAATGGCGTCGCCACAAGATGGCAGCCTACACAGAACGCTCGTCGGATTCGTCTATACACAGCCAGGCAAGATGTTGCTGGTCTCGTTGGTGTTAGAACATAAAGAACTAACTGACAAACGCGACAGCGACTACAAACATCTTGATAAAAGAGAACTACTGTATGGAGTGGTATTGCAGAGCAAATGGGCACCATCTAATGTCAGGGAATTATTCACTCGGCTCATCGTCAGCGAAAATCGCTTGGGTGTGAACACAAAAAACACGTTGAAAAACGCCGGCGAATAACGCACGCTGATATTCGTACCGGTGTGTACGGGACTTAAAACAGCTTTTGTCCACAGTACACTTGCACATAGTGTTTTAGGTAGGTTTGCAGTAAACCTTGCAGCTTTTCACGTGTCTTGGAGACATTGCCACAGTTCTCTCTTGAATTTAGTCTATCTCAGTTTTTTCAAGTAGTCAAAGACATACTCGATGATGGTGAGATCAGATCTCTGTGTGGAGCATACCGGCTGATATCAGACTCCTTGTGTATAGACCATTTCACAAGATGTAAACAACACTGGTCCAGAAGCACTTCCTGTTTCAGTTTTTTAACACTACATAAAAGCTGGGATAAAATACAACCAACAGAACATTTAAAACTGAATCTAAAAAGTTAAACAAACATCTTTAAGATGTTTTCTTCACATGTGAAATAAAGAAAACAGTTACAAACTTAAACAGGAAGTGCTTCTGGACCAGTGTTGTTTACATCTTGTGAAATGGTCTATACAAAAATCTCACTGGATTATTACAATTAATGGCAAAATTGAGATTCGATTGAGTGGATCTCAATTTTGCCATTAATTGTAATAATCCAGCCAAGAACTGAACCTTAAGCATCACTGCTAGAAATCTTATGTCAAAGTAAGCCATTAACTCCTACCTCAATAAAGAAGTAGCAGATTCCTCTCAGACCGTAAGTAATGCAGGGCTTGGTCTTTCCCAGCCAGTAGTTGTCAGAAATGCAGACATAGTCCACACCCTTAAAAAAAGTATCTTTGCGAGAGAAAACCAGCTCATCCAATCCCTCTGATCCAGACTCCTCCATTCCTTCGAAGCAGAACTTTATATTGATGGGCAGTTCCTGTGATCAAGTAAATTTAGGTTTTAGTGCAAAATCCATTAAATGTGAGGTTTAAAAAAATTTCTGCAGTCAATATAAATCTATAGATATAATATAAATTGTGAAAATAATTCTTTACAAACTTACAGTATAAATGTTATTATTCAAGAAACGTGAACAATAGTAACAAAAAGGATATGTTTTACTTGTATTAAAGAAACCCTGCATAACATTACAATTGCCCTTGCAGTTAATTAAATTTGATCTAATTAAATTAGCTTGACACGAGGCTTTAAAATGATCAAAGATCACAAAACAACCTTTAAACTGTTCTGTTCTCAATTTGCGTGTGTAAATGAGGAACTTTAAAAGCAGTGACAGTTCTCTCAGGTGATAATGATTGAGAAACTGAGGTAATCTATGGATAAGCAAAGGACTGTATGCAAACGATTTTTAACACAATGAGATGTTGTTGTCGTACTGTGTGTACATGCAACTGCAATTTAATTTACATTCTAACTTGTTGGAACAAAAAAGATATATTAACAAGATTGAGAAATGCAGGCAATGCTAAACTTCTAGCAACTGACAAATTTATGCACTGATACTGTCATACTGCTTGCAATACATGAGGACTTTGCTCAGGTGTTACAGGTTTAATAAGTAAGCAGACAGTATCATTTGAAAAAAGACAGTGTTAGCACCTGTCCAATCTTCTGAAAGGCCTCAATGATGTTGAACCAGGCCAGTACAGGGCCTTTATCATCAGTAGATCCACGTCCGTACATTTTACCTACAAAACAATTAAATGAAGCATGAGCCAAATCAAATGTTGTAAAGTGTAATGATTACAATGAATTTCATCTTAGGTTTTTTTTTACAATACAGATCATGTGTGGCCTTGTTATTAATTTACAAAAACGCTATGCTAATTGTAAAAGATTACTAGACATTTACTAGACAAAAACATAATGTTTCAGCTGATCCTGTATGAGAGACTTTCATTTTGTAACACTTTGTTTATTGAGATACAACAGCTTATGTCAGTGTAATACAACAATAACGTACCTTAAAAGGTTGAATCTCTTTTACATAATAAAAATAATGGAAATAAATAAATAGTAATAATAAATAAAATAGAAGAGAGACTTTAATTTTAGAGCATCTTAAAATAAGAACCTAGTTGTGAAATTTCAGAACTGGAGAAACTTTGTGGCAGATTAAGGAGCTAAATTTTAAAAACAGAAAATATTTGATTCCACTATATAAAACAACCAACTAATTAAATGTTTTTAATGATATGCAAATATATAGAGTATGTATTTTTTTTATTTCTATTTAAGATTAACATTCATTTAGCCCGGTTCAGAAAAAAAAAAAATCTACAGGAATCAGCTGACAAGTCACATGGCTATGCTCAAGCGTCAGATCTATCTCAGCAAAAAGAGACAATAGGATTTGTCTTGAAATCTCTTCGGGCTGGAGGGACACAAATGTAACATGCTGAGTCGGAGAGATTTCTTCCTTTTTTGTGTCAACGGCCACATGCAAGCAGGACAGAAATCTTTAAAAAAAAATGCTAGTGGTGACTAATTTTAGCTAAATTAAATTGTGAAATATTACCTGGAGGGAGCTCTGCTTGCAGAGTATTGCACAAAAAGCAAATCAATTGAAAAACCTAATTTGGTCTAAACAGGTTTCTTCATTAATAAATTAAGTAAGCTACTGGTCTGTACACTACAACACACTACACAAAAAAAGACTTAAAAGGCCCACTTGTGCAAGCATACTCATACCATCTTTCTCCACCAGAGTGAAGGGCGGTGAGTCCCACCCATCCTCAATGTTGGCTGGCTGCACATCCAAGTGTCCGTAAATGCACACAGTCTTCTTGCCTGGGTCTGAGCCAAGTCTGCCCAGAACTATTGGAGGAAGAGGGATCTGTTCACCACTTGGCAACTAAATTAAATCAAGAAAAAAGTCTCACCTTAGTATTCTTTTGAAATTTGTATATACAGTAGTGGTTTGGAGATTTGTTTTAATGAAGCTAAACGTTTGATTAAAGGATAAGTTCTCTTCAAAATTAAAATTCTGTCATCATTTACTCAGCCACAAGTTGTTTCAAATTAAAACCTGTATGAATTTCTTTCTTCTACCAAACACACACAAAAAAAGTTTTTTTGAAGAATGTCAGTAACCAAACAGTTGATGGACCCCATTGACTTCCATGGTAGGGAAAAAAATAGCAGAAGAAAGAGATTCATACAGGTTTGAAAGAACTTGAGGGTAAGAAAATGAAAAGCTCACAGTGACTAATCCTAATCATTTAATATTATGTTGGTTCTTTCTTGTTTTTGCATGTATTCATAATTTGCATGTATTCATAATATTGCCTTTGAGTGTATTGTGAATACATACAAATTATGAATACATGCAAAAACAAGAAAGAACCAACATAATATTAAGAACCAACATGCAGTGACATGCAGTCAGATGGTCGACCACAAAAATGAAAAACAGAACAGGAACCAGCTTGTAATACTTGAGCTAAAGGCTAAAATCAGTGAAATTACGAAGCCAGACATGAACATAAAACATAAAAATTACTAAGCCTACTCCAAAGCAAGTGATTTATAGTAACTGTGAATTTCAGAAAACACACCTTCTGCATGCCGAGGTCAGCCATCTCCACTGTTCCCCCAAGTCTCTCAATGTCCTTGGCAGCCATCTCCATCATCTTCTTGATTTCTCCTCGTTTCTCCGGCCAGGCAGACACACTCTGTACAGCAACCCATTGTGCCAGGCGCTTCAAACACACACACACAATGTTTACATTTCCATTAGAAAATATACATTTCTTCATTTTCAAAAAGTAAAGTCATCAAAAAATTAGGAATTGAACAAAAAAAAAACTATAACTAAATAAAAACAAATCTAAACTATTTTAGCTTAAAGTAGACACATTTTCCAGGTTTGGATATAATAATATACAATGTAATGTAATAAGAAGATACCTCTCAGTACCTCAACAAATTGGTCCTGGTGCTCATCTACGTATTTGAATAGATTTGGAAGGTAAGACATTGCTGCAGTGATCCAATCCTTTAGTGGCAGAAGAACTGACCTAAAAGAAAGGAAGATAGACGTGTAATAATGTTTTTGTCATCCAGGGAGGAAAAGAAACTCCTCCCAACTCTGTAAACTGCTGACAAAATCATTCCCGCTATCACCACAGACAGAAGGCTATCACAGGGCAAATGACTAAGAGAGTTGTAGCTCCAACTATAACAGGACAACAAATTGTTTAAAAATATTTATAACAAAAATCATTTTGATATCAATATCAAATAGGCATATTGATTTCATTTAAATAATAATGATAAGAATTATTTCGATTAAAACAATTTCCAGTGGTAACTAATTCATAAAATGCGAAAACTCATAAAATAATAGCTTGCAGTGGCTATTTATAGAAAACAACTTTAAAAAAAACAACTGCATACTTACTGAGAAAAAAACACTTTAACGTTTTGAAGTTAACTGTAAAAGTAAGCCTCTCTCCACCTCAGATCTTTTTGATCAGTGGTGTGAAGAATGCCATGAAAGCAGCATAGACAGTAAAAGAAAGGAAAGCAGCTCATGGGGTTCCGAAAAGATCAAAATGGCTTTCAAAATAAAGGTCTGAGTGAAGCGGAGCCTTCACACAGTGCAGTGGCCTCAAAAAACGACTACCGGTACACATTTAAGTCACACTTTGTGTATGAGCTATGAAGGTCATTACATTAGATAATAAAATATTAAATATATATAATATTATTATAACTAAACAAACACTTGATTTAGTTTGTTATATTTTAATTTAGCCTCTAAAATAGATTAATATTAAGATCCAAATTAAGACACTTCATTGTGCTGCAGTGATGACATATTTTTAGGCTTAACCGGAAGTTAATCACCCTCAAAGCTGTAAAAAAAATAAAAAATCTTAATCTTAAATTAAATCTTAAATTAGGTACAATCAAGTGAATCAATTTAGATGTTTGTCATTTCAATTTAAATTACATTAAACTATAACTTGTTAAACTTGAATATTACAACTTATAAAAAAAAGTTTATAAGTTTAAAAACTTATTTTGATGAGTTACAGCAATGGTAAAACATATGTTGTCATAACTTATTGATTGACTTACCTTTGGCAATGTTCTGGCCAACACACAGTCCAAACAATGGACTATATGTGTCATCATGTCACAAAGATAGAAAGAGATAAACTGTGATGCATGCATTTATTTGTAGGCTACATTAGGTTACGAACACCTGAATTTGTGTAAAGTTTTGCACTACAAATAGCGGTCACTTAGTTTGAATACTTACTTCTTGTAATATGAATTGATGTGTTGTGGTTTACATCAGTTTTAAACTTTCCAAACCTAATTATAAATGGACATGGATGGATCTTTTTGTCTCGGCCACTGCCGAATTTTTAGGAATTCTAAATTACGACATATGCCCCCAATGAGAAATACAGAAAAGTTAGTTCATGTGTTCATGACCTCAAACCTAGATTATTGTAATGCTCTACTGGGTGGTTGCCCTGCATGCTTAATAAACAAACCTCAGCACCAGCAAGAGTTCTTACAAGAACCAGGAAGTATGATCATATTATCATCACATTATCAATTTCTATTATTCAAATCAATTAAATGATTATGCAACATGATTGTAACGTCACAGCAGATCGCGCTTACATTAGAGTTATTTTAATATTTAACTACATAATACAAGTATCAACCTTAAGCTATCAGGTTTTTTTACACCAATATTGTTTATATTTTTTTATCATTTTCATTTGTGTATTTTTTTTTATTTTCTATAAATATATTAACATTTGTTTATATTTTTAAAAACTGCACAAGCATACACACAGGCCTATAGAATGGTGCGTAAACACATTTATAAGGAAAATCAGCTCCATACCTGATTCCAATTAAACAAGTTTCATTTAAACACATTGCAAGGGTTACGCCAGAGGGCACTCAAGCAACGTAAGCAATGACGTGCATTCAAGTGAGGGAAATTAGCAAGGGAAGGGTATAAAAAAATAGGACTTTAATTCTAACATGATTTTATGAATAAAACTAATAATTAGCACTGCGATGATAAATAAGAGCTTAGAAGATTAGAAACACGCCGTTCAATATTTATTCAACATTTATTCAATATACAGTGGCATTTTCAGATGGACAAAATTATAAAAGACGGTAACAGCAACAGAGAAACATTTAAATATGAAGTTGAAAACCCTAAACAAGGCCATTAAACAGTCCAAATGACCATAAATGAATGCTCAGATTTTGTCCAATGTTGATGTAAAAAAAAAAAAAAAAAAAAATGCAAGGCATAAAAAAGTGCACAGACATCAGTATCTGTATTTGGTTGAGTAGTCTTTTGGGGAAACCACAAGACCCCGTCCTTTCCTCGCCCCTCTGTAGACAGTCTCAACAATGTCTATCATCTCCTGCTTATCTTCCATGGTCCAGTTTATCTTGTTGTTGTTACCAGTGCCAAGATCAATCATGATGTGCTTGTTCCTGAGATAGACAAACAAAAGCAGAAATATACATCAGGATAAATATGCACTGTAAAACTATTATTCGGTAGATACTGTATATAAATATTGCATATAATTTTGACACGGTCAGAAAGTGATTCTATCACATTAGTCTTGTGACAACAGTGTAAGTGCCCATATTACACTTTTCATATAGTGTGGTATAACCGTTTTTATGAATGTGTCAGCAAAATATTCGAGACAAATTGCACAATAAAAGTTATTGTCTCCCAAAAGAAAGAAGGATTCTGAACTGGCTTAAATTCTTCCTGCACAAATCTGCATAATGCCAACTAGGGATGTCAATTTACACAAATTCCCATGATTCATCAGTTTAAATGAATGATCAATTAATCGTTAGCCTTAATACTGCATCTACTGCAGTGTCATATAGCCAACAGCATAACAGTGTGTGCAAATGCTGCACAAAACACCATGTACCTGACCAAATGAATGAGGATTTGAATTTAAATAAAGGGCAAGCAGTCGTCGATGTGATAGATCATTTAATTAAATTACAAATAATCAAATATAACAACTAATACACCGTGTCACCAACGTTGCATCAGATGCGTGCTAATCAGAAAGTGTAACTCCTGCTGTGGACACGTTCTTCCTGGAACAACGCGCTAAACAGCAACTAGACCCAATTAATTCACGACAATTTATTAAAATAGTGTTTTCATTATAATGTCATGTAACATGACGGTTCCGATCATAGTTATTATTAGTCGTGCATTACTGTTTGAGCTGTGCACTGAAGCGCTGAATGAACACCGGTAAACTGGAGACCTTTGTTAGAGGGTTATGTAATAGGACTGGCAAAGGATTAATCGCATCCAAAATAAAAGTTTGTGTTTGCATAATATATGTGGGTGCACTGTGTATAATTATTATATATGTATATAAAAATACACACACATGCTTGTATAAATTTAAGAAATATTTTCATGTATATACTGTATATAGATTTATATATAATTTATATTATATATTCCGGAACAGTTGTCACAAGGCTAATGTGATAGAATCATTACCAACCATGTCTGTGCAAAATTAAATGCGATACATATACACATCTATCCAATTACGACACATCATTAGATCGTAAAGCCAATAAACCCTGTAACATTTGCATTACCGGAACAAGGACACATGACAAGACCATTCCTTCACATTTGTTTTAAACCCAAATTCATTAAGTCCTTCTATGTTTTATAAAGGAAGAGTAAGAGATTTTCTATGGTAAATATGCCATCAATAGAGCATAATCTATCTAGAACAAGAAACATTTAAGGAAAAATAAATAAACAAACAAACAACTAAAGCGTAAATGCTAAGTAATATACCCTGCATAATGATGGACTCCAATATGGTTAAAGGGATATGCCACCCAAAAATAAAAAATTCTTGTATTAGGGCTGTCACTTTTGAGAAAAATCAAATTCGAATGGATATCAAATATCAAGCAATATATTCGAATATGTACAAGCCCCGCCCCCATTTTCATTTACCAGATTTTCAATTTTTTTTTTTTTTTTCACTTTTTTAGTCCGAGAAGCTCCTGCTTTGCCTCTAACAGGCAGGAGACAATCCAAAATTATCAACAGCCCTCACCTCTAGTCCCTTGTGCATGGCTGGTTTAACATGTGTACCAAGCAAGGTATATGTATGAGGTCTAAATTGCGTATGGGTATGGCTTTCCCATAATTCTGCGTATTGTCTGTGTTGACCGCTATTACTGCTTCACTTCACTGCTACACTTAGGTCTTATATCCCTGCAAATAAACCTTGCCATCTTATTGGTGATGGCCTTTACATGTGCATCTGGCAAGGTACCGACCAGTTGTGCAGGAAAGTATGCAGTCATACGATGTTGGACGCCTGGCGATACTCTGGCCGTCTGCTGTGTCTCTGACTCCGCTGCCTCGTTTGGATGGTAACTCGCCAAGTTTGGATGTCGAGGATGCGCAAGTAAACCTTTTTTGCAAATTCGGCAAACTGACGTATCTTTAACGGTTACTTTACCATAATCTACGGTGTAGAACTCAAAATATTTCCAAAAACTACTTTTTAGATGAGTTGGGGTCGTAATTGTCCGCTCAGGCAGGCCGTTCTGTGCATAATCTTCCATTTTCAAAACAAACTGGCTATTGGCTATATTATTCGCTTGCTTCGGTCATGGGCATACGCTACAATACGTTTAGAGCGCCCACTACTGGATGAGATGGCGAACAATAAAATAAAAAAAAAACAAATAGTCTAATCATAGACTATAAAAATGCGCACTTATGGCACTATAAAAATACTTTAAATAATACTATTTTAAATACTACACATGGCACTTTAAAAACCATATAATTTATTTATAGTTCGATTACAGATATTTCATGTCATGTTCAAATTCATATTCGAATATCGAATAAAAAGTGACAGCCCTAGCTCATTTGTTTTCTTTTTCTAAAAATCTCTGTTTGATTCATAGAAGAAAACAATAAAAGGGAGAAAATTAGGAACCCTTTAAATTGCTGCCTGACTCACTGTAGTCATTATAAAATCTGAAGACACTTACCTGAAAAAGAACATGACTGTGCAAGGATCATATAACTCGTACATCTTGTTAAAATCTGGTACTTCTGTGATGTCCACAAGATAAATTACTGCAAAATTCTTCACCTGAGAAAACACTTCATATCAGTCACACAACAAACTGGTAGAATAATGGTAACGTTAAATAAATAATTGCTCACAAACACATTTTCGTCAACAAGAAATACATATTCAGAAAACACTACCTGTTCTTAATACTAGGAAACGGTAAATACCTTCTCGGCGATGCTGTACAACACTTCATCCATTTTCATACACGTAGGGTCCCAGTCGTGGCCAAATCGTATTACAATAACACGGTCCTCCTCGGATAAAATAGCCTGGTCCACTTGCCAGCCATTGTGAAGATGAGGGAGCATGTACGACATTTTGATGGAATTTCAACACACTTCTAGAAAGGCACATCGAGATTGGTAACTTATCATATGCTTTTACAAACCACACCAGGTCAATAAACAGTTCAAAAGTAGCAAAGTAAAAAGCAAAACTGGTTTGTTTACATTTCGCACGTTGAGTTCTCGTTAGCAAATAACGTTAGCTCCGCAGATTCTAGAAAGATTATTTAGATTTCTCAAGTTAAATATACAGAAATAAAACAGAAAAAAAGGGAAATGCAATCCTCACCTTACAGATTAAATAACCTTGTTGTGTAGATTAACTGAGTGCTCCGAGTTAATAAGATGTAGAACACGGATTATTAGTTTTTAGCACTGCAACGACGACGGCGGCTGCCGCGGCTAGTGAGTGACTGACAATGCGTATAAACAGTTATCAATATCGCCCTCTGCTGGAATGGAGAAAGCTTCGTCTTCTTTGGTTGTTATTGGCAGTTTGCAAACGAGGTGCATTACCGCCATCTTCTGGACTGAGGTGTTTTTAAATATGTTACTAAAAAAAAAATCAAACTCAATAGGTTTTATAAACTCAATCCAGCATTTTCCATTGCCCACTCTAGTTCTTTCATTTTTTCAGAGTACTTTCTACACGTCAAGAATATGTTTTACATTTTCCACTTCTCAATGAATGCATAATCCAGTCTGGTGTTTTTCTAAATTTAGGCAGCTATTTAACCTTGTAAGCATAGTTTCCTTCTGTCATCTTAGACAACTGTTCTTTTTACCAATCACTTCTTTCTGAATGCTGTATAAATGTCTTACTTTTTCCTCCTGATCCCATGTTTCCAATATCTTTAATGATAACTTTAATTTCTGATTTGCTAAGTGGAACTTGTGTTGTCTGCCTTCAGGAATTATTTTTGCTTATGTATCCGAAAGCTGCTGCTCTATGGAGTCTATAACAAGAAATCTTTCAACCAATTTAGTACGGGTTTTATAAGATTCAGATGTAATGTTTACATTTTTAAGATGTATTCAAAGTGTCATTCAGGAATCAGACAGAAGATTATTATATTATAATTTGACCTTAATCATGAACAAAACATACACAGCAATGGATATTGTCTAATGTTGTCTTAAGACAAAATACCTTTTGCATGTATACACTACCGGTCAAAAGTTTTTTTTTATTTTTAAATGAAGTCTCTTCTGCACACCAAGGCTGCTTTATTTAATGAAAAAAAAATGACAAACAGTAATATTGTGAAATATGATGACAATTTAAAATGACCTTTTTCTATTTTAATATATTTGAATATGTAATTTGAAAGCTGAATTTTCAACATCATTACTGTTGCTGATTACACATCAGTTTTCAGTGTTACATGATCCTTCAGAAATCCTTCTAATATGCTGATTTTATGCTCAAAAAACATAAATTATTATTTTCAATGTTGAAAACAGTCGTGTACCATTTCCCCCCCAAAATTATATGATGAATAGAAAGTTCAAAAGAACAGCATTTATTTATATATAAATATAATCTTTTCTAACATTATAAATGTCTTTACTGTAACTTTTTATCAATTTAACTCATCCTTGATGAATAAAAGTATTTTCTCATTTCTTTCCCCCAAAAATAAAAAATAAATTTTTACTGACCCCAAACTTTTGAATGGTAGTGATTAATGTTACAAAAGCTTTCCATTTCAGATCAATTCTGTTCTTTTGAACTTTCTATTCATCAAAGAATCCTGAAATAAAAATGTAAAAAAACTGTTTTCAACTTGGATAATAATCATAAATGTTTCTTGAACATCATATAATAATTTCTGTAGGATCATGTGACACTGAAGACTGGAGTAATGATGCTGTAAATTCAGCTTTGATCACAGGAATAAATTACACTTCACTATATATATTCACAGAGATAACCGTTTTAAATTGTAATAATATTTCACAATATTACTGTTTTTTTTTTGTTTTTTGTTTTTTTTTATCAAATAATTGCAGCCTTGGTGAGCAGAAGAGACTTCTTTTAAAATAATTAAAAATCTTACCAATCTAAAACTTTTGACCGGTTTGTTGTTGAATGTCCTACAATATAGCAGCATGAATACTGTGTAGGCTAGCAAACACGTAATATACGTATTCAATGAATCAATTATTCAGAAAAGTTGCAGCATTAAAGTGAAATGTTTATTTCCCCCATTTTTGTACCATAAATGGGTAGTTAACATGGAATACCTTTGGAAAGTGCAGCCAAAACTAATAGGCTACTTTGATATTTCAAGTTTGTGAACTTATTTTAATTGAGAGTATTATATTAAAAAATTAATTTGTCACACCAGTGGACTATTTAAAATCAACCAGAGAAAGAAAGAAAAAAGGTGATTAAAAGTGGAAAATGATTGTGTCCATGGATGGTTTTTTTTTTAAATATCAATGTAGGTGTATGAATGGAAATACATTTGATATATGTAGCCTGAGTATATCTTAAGATAACACCAGACATGCATCTCAGGATTTAAGATAAAGACTTTCCCATGTACAAACATTTTAACCTTGATAAATAATAAAATTATATGGTTATGTAAATGTCAACTACCTATATTTTACTGAACCAAAATGTATAAGGGGATTCTGTAAGTATTTGTCTTATGACAGAATACGTTTTAAATTTCAAGTATTATCCCACAACTGTCAGCATGAACAATGTGTTAGCAAGCAAATATTTACATTAATAACATTTTAGATCTTCAAAACAAGATCTATGGTCACAATAAAGCGTGTTCTGTACATAAATACTAGTTTAAATAAACTACATAATACTTAACTAATAAATGTTGTTCTCTGATGACAAATAGGTTTGAGTTTTTAACAACGCCCATTACTACACATGAACATACAACTGAAAAAAAAGTGAACTTGTATGTATATGCTCTAATTTATTTACACATTTTTCATATTGTAAGCTTAGATGTTGTCATTTACTTATTGAACAGGGGAAATGAAGTTGGAAACCAAGAGTCTACAAAATATCCCGATGCTTACAATCATTATACAATTGAAATGAACTGCAATTCAATTTCTCTGCAAAGCTCCACACTTTAGTTTTGAGGATGTCACTTAGGTAAGCAGCAATACTTAAGAGAAATGTTTTTTGGCAAAACATCTAATTCAAAACAATTTGAATAACATATTTATAAAAGTATAAGGCAAGAAACATAGAAATTAAATTTAACAATAAAGGGAATTGATTAACAGAAATATAGATGGTCTAAAAGAAAAAGGGAAACGTAACCATAAGCATTCCAACAAACATAAAGAAAATGTCAAAAAAAAAAAAAGTTTATAAGGGGTTTGGAAAATATAAAAAGTATAATCACAAAACTTTTCAACCCTAAAACTATAAATGGGTTACAAACATCTATTTTTACATGAACTTTGCTTGAAGTGACGTCTCAGTGAAAAGTAATTGATGTAGGCTATATTTTAAAATGATTAATATGAAACAAAACATAAGCATTCACACGCATTATTTAACAACAGACAAAACACATTTTCGCTTGTTTCAACCTCTCAAGTTCTACTTGGTTAACAGTTTAACACTAGTTTTGGTGAAAATGGAACATATTTTGCATTGTTTAAAGGAACAGGTAACAGTTTACGCTCCAAAATAAAATTTGCATTGCAAGTCCTCCTTGTCTTTACTACTATCGTCTCCAAGCTACTCTTGAACGACCTCCATCTCTGTGTCTGTCACGGTGATCACCTTCTCGGGCTCAATCTCTGGGATGTAGAGATTATGCTTCACCTTCATCACCTCTGCCATATTGAAGCCTAAAAGTACCACAGCCTTGGTTTTCTGTATGTTCTTCATACATCTGGTGCGCTTTGTGCTAATCTGGCAAGCAACGTCAGTTTTGTTAAGCAGTAAACGGCTACTCAGGGCAACAATCTCCTTCTTGAGTGGGTAAGGCTGTGTATTAAAGTACTTATTGACAAACTCGCGTCGTTCTTCAAAGGGGCAATGCTCCATCCCAGTTGGATCCAATGCTAATTGTACAGAAGGATCGATTATCACCTCAGGTGAGGGGAGACTCAGCCCAGCCAACCTATCTCGCTCGAGTTTTCTCTTCCTCGCCAACCGTTCCTCCCGCTCTCTTCTATTGGCCTCCATAGCTTCTCTGAAGGCTACTTCCAGGCGTAACTTGCTCTGCATCTCCGCTTCGGTTTCCAGGGGCTTTGTGGCAGGAACAGAGGCTTGAACTGAAGTCGGGGTTGGACCTGTGATCTGTTTTGGATGAGCCGGGTATGACACAATTGCTCGGTTTGCCCTGGGAGTAATAGCTAATCCAGAAGTCAGTTTATCGCTATCCTTGAGACTCTTCGGTGCACTGCGGCATTTGGACAAGTGGACAATGATGGCCTTGGTGGTGGTCTTCCCAGTGTACACACCACCACAGTAGAGGCATCTGTACGACGGGGTTTTCAGTATAGCATGTAGAGTGGGAACAATGAAATGCTTCTCTTTGAGGTGCATTTGATAGCATTCCCTGTTCAGAAGTTTCTCCGAGCAGAAGGGGCACTCTGTGCTGTTAGGATTGGGTGTGGGCATCTTGCAGGGTGCGGACAGCTTTCCAACACCCTGGGGATTGTTGGGCAACATCTTCACAAAGATCAGATCGAGGGAGCTTGTGACCAATGCAAGATTGAGCTCTTTTTCACCCATTATTAATTTAGGAGCCGTGGTCCGGATGTCAAAGTAAGGGAAAAGCAGATTCCCTGAATCATCACTATACAGTCTGTATTCACGCCTCATGAAGTCACAGTTGCTCTTTCGGTTCACATTATGCTCCACCTGGATATGGTCGACAAGCTGCTTGATGGAGTAGAAGAGCCCAGAACAAAATAAGCAGTTCATGCCATGAAGCAGGTGTTCAAAAACTCCCTTTTCCGAAATCAAGATCTTGCATGTCAGGCATTTCACCGTCTTGTCCGGCATCTTTTTCAAAAATGGAGCACGAGCAGCTAGACCAATCTTGGGCAATTTAGCTACCTCTTTGTGAACCTCTGGATGGGACTCGTAGATATCAGATGGGAAGAGTTCGTTACAAATAGGACACGTGATCCACTTCTTGGTTTGTTTGGGGGCCGGCAAAGAGCTGTTTTGTTTGTTTTGCTGAGCAGGAGGGTTGTTCTGGGATACAGGGAGTGGTGGTTTGCTGGCTCCCTGGGAGTTATTTCCCTGGACCGATAGGACCTGCAAAGGCGCAAGAGTGTAGGTAGGCAAACCATCAACTTTGTTGCCAGTGGGTATCAAATGACTCAGAAGGGATTGCGAGGTTAGCATGGTGCCTCCAGATGTGGGTTGATTTAGGGGCAATCTTTGATTAGCTACAAGGGACTGAGGTGGCGGTGGCCTCACAGCGGGTACATTAAGACGTACCCCTGGTGGAAGGACAATTTGGCGGGAAACGGGTTGCAGTTGTGCCTGACTAGGTAGGCCTACTCTGACGGACATCTGATTTTGAGGAACGCCGCTCGGAGCAGGAGGCAAAGCAGGTCTGGTGATTTGGTTGTTCTGAAAAGCCAGAGGTACTCCAGGTCTCAGTAAACCCTTCGCCTCAGCACTTGCAAGCTGAACCAGAGCAGAAGCTTGAGTTGGGAGAAATACCTGGCTTGTTCCTGGGGCAGCAATAACTGCAGAACCACCACTTTCTGCCCCTTTAATTCCACCAGTGGCCATTGTCACCGCCGGCGGATCTTTCATCATCAAGACAGCAGGAGGGCCTTGTGTTTTCGGTGCTAGAGCAGGGAACTGTTTCTTACTGTCAGTTTCAAAAATTAGAGCTCTGATATGCACATCCAGCTCCTTGTGCTTTTCTGAGGTTAGAAGATGATACAGCAAGTGTTCGGATGTCTCAGCTGATACGTAACACTTTTTACAGTAGAATTTCTGAGACCTGTCTCCTAGAGTCAGAAGTTCCCGCTCCGATCTCTGCCCGGCATATTTATTCAACGTGGAAGTGTAATGATAAAGAAGAACATGCTTTTTCACACTGTACAAAAGAGTATCTTGAATATGGCATCTTCGGCACTGAAATGTGGTGCCGTTTACAGCTCTTGGAGGCAGCGGCGGGACTGCAGGGATTTCTAACTTTGCATCCTCAATGTGGAACAATTTAAGGTGCCTGGAGACCAACCTTGGGTGGGCTATAAACGGGCAGGAAGTACAGGCAGAAAGCTTGCACAGACGCTCTTCTTCATCATGGTAGCGCTGAACATGGACTTTGTAGGTATGCCACGATCTTGTAGAGAACTCGCACAAGGTGCAGCACAAACCTTGTGTACGATATTCCCACTGAGGACAGAGAACATTTGGTAAGAATTTCAGCCAGTGGTCACACACTATTCAGAAATGCTCAGTATTTAAATAGTTTTTGCTCAAGAAAAGCAAAGCACTAGGACTGTCACAAATGATTGGTAATTCAGTAATCGGTCGATTTTCTTTGACGATTAAGCCTTTTAAATTACTTAATGGGGTTAGTACACACAAAAATGAAATCTCTATCATTAATTACTCACCCTAATGTCTTTTCAAATCCGTAAGACATCTGACTAATACTGAGTCACCATTCTGACATATAAGCACTCCACTGTGTTTACTACGTGATCAGCATAGGAGACTGACACGGAAGAGAAGAAATTGTTGAATAAAGTCGTTATTTCTGTTTGATTTCCGCGCACATAAAGTATTCTCATCGCTTAATAACATAAAGGGGGGGAAGGGGTTGATTGTGATTTCACTTTTTTGATTTTAAATAGTGTGTAATGTTGCTGTTGGTGTATGAACAGTATCTGCAAAATTGCAGCGCTAAAAGTTTTGGTGACCAAAAATGACAATTTTTATCAAGCTTGTATATGTAAGTTTAGTAATTTCACTTAAATGACAATTAATAGGTAATCTTCATTGCCATTTAAGTAAAATTACTAAACTTACATATACAAGCTTGATAAAAATGATCATTTTAGAAGAAAATTTCAAATGGCACTTAGAGGCTTTTGCATCTGAACTCTTCAAATGTTTCATGACGTTATTTTCGATTTGATCAAGAACGTAAACTAATGCCGACTTTGTGTTTAACATTAGTAGCCAGTCAGTTGCTATTGTTGCCAGTCAGATGCTATTGTGTAAAACAAACATGTATAAAGTTAAAAAAAAAATAGAAAATTATCATTCAGAAACGTTTAGTAAGAGCTGTGTGTGGTGAGGTTCTGTTTGACTGTCTTCATCGCCACTTTCTCCGTCTGATTCTGCCTCAAACATCTGGACCGGAGCTCATGACATGCATGTTTCGCCCGTAAATGTAATGGGCGTTAACCTTCCGGACAACGTGACGACAGTTTAGCCAGTCATAACACACCGGCCCAAACTAACCAATCTGAGCCCAGTGCCTGTTTCTGAGGGAGTGGTTTCATAGACTCAGGAAGTCAACCGCTCGTTCGAGGACAGAGGAGACCGCGGCTGACAATAAAGGTGAAGTTTATGAAAAATAAGACTTTTCAAAAAAGAAAAACAACGAATACATGTTATATTGCACGCCATTATATTGCACCCCCCCCCCCCTTAAGGTTGAACCACTGTAGTCACATGGTCTTCAAAACGTCTTTACTACCTTTCCGGGCCTTGATAGTTGCAATGACGTTGCGGTCTATGGCTGGTTCAGAAACCTCACGGATTTTATCAAAAATATCTAGTGGTGCTCAATATATCGGCTGGCAATGTGGTCAATGACTGTTTTACACATCAGTATCGTTCCGATGTCAAAATATGGTCAATGTGAACAGGCCGATAATCATTCAGTAATCATCATGAGTGTGGGGGCGGGGATGTTTGTTTTTGCGTCACATAATGTGCTGAAGCAGGTGCTGGAGGCGGCAAAAAAATTCAAAGTGCCTTTGGTGAGGGAGCAACAATGTCGTCCGTCTGCTGCTAGGGCTGCCCGATGTATCATTTTAGCACCGATATTGAGATGGGCGCATCCACGATAGTCATATCAGAGGATGTGCGATGTCAAGAATAGGGATCGTAGTTGATCCATGATTCATGATCAGTAGGCTACGGGCCAGCAGCTCCCCGGCTCATTAGGCTTGTAATTTGCAAAGTTTTAATTAATTGCAAAGTTTATCAATTTGCAAGTCCTTTCAGTTTAAACATCAAGCGCAAGAAGACTGGAATTTGCACGCTGCTTTTTTCAGTTTTACTAAGGCATATTATTGTCCCGCCAACGCCTTATTTGACCGGTGAGTGATGTAGAATAGAAGACTGATGAGAGAACGAACAGAATGAGTGAAAGTCGTGGTCACGCACGCACTCTCACTGTCTTCAAACCGTCTTGCTCCATCTCCCTCCCTCGCGTATACCGGTAATAATAAATTGAGTTGACTGAATATCTTTGAGAATACATGATGGTAAAAAGTCAGAAGACCGACGTTTTTTTTTTTTTTTCTGAACTACCACTGGTTGTGAATTGTGCTAAAATAACGTTGCCTTATCTTTTCTGAAAAGCTTTCCACACATTCAGATGACATAAACCACACAATCAATTAGGGCTGTGCCATATCATACCGTCCATGATAATACCGGTATAAAATTTTACATGATAAAAAAAAGTGTCATATCACGATATTGATGATATAGCTGTGCGAGGATGCGATATTGATGATATAGTGGCATGATGACGTATGGCGTATTTACGTTTCTTAGCACGCGCACAACATCAAAACCTCTGAGAGTAATAGCACCTCCGGATCAGATCAAGATTTAGTTCCTAAAAAGGGAGCTACTACAATAGTATGGAAGTGGTTTGGGTATTGACCATTTCGAAAGATGTAAACAATACTGATCCAGAAGCACTTCCTGTTTTAGTTTTTTAACACTACACAAAAGCTGGGATAAAATACAACCAACAGAACATGTAAAACTGAATCAAAAAGTTAAACAACATCTTTAAGATGTTTTCTTTACAAATGAAATAAAGAAAACAGTTACAAACTGAAACTGAAAGTGTTTCTGGACCAGTGTTTCTGGACCAAAATGGTCTATAAGAGGTCAGATCTCCAACAAAACACTTTTTTTTTTGTAAAATATGCATTAAAACTGTTAATGCTAAAGGTGGAAACACAACAAACTTGTTTCACCACAATCTACGTGCAATCTATTAAATCTGCATACAATGCGGGAGTTAAAGATCCGTTTTGCAAAAACACATTTATGTGGCCAGGTGTAAATGGAATCGGTACTTATGATCCGGATAACTTATCTGGATACAGATCGCATTTTAATACCAGGTGTAAATGGGGTCATTCACTCTCTCCAAATATAGATTTTCAAGTCATCTGGTGAAATCACAATATAAAATATATTGTAATGTAATTTTTTACCAATATCGTCCAGCCCAAATCCTTGCAATGCGTTTTCTATACAGAGATATCGACATCGGTAAATATCGTATCGCCATAACAGCAATATTAATATTGGTTATCGGTATCGGCCACAATTTTCACATCGGTGCATCACTAAAAATATCTTCATTTGTGTTCCAAAGATGAACGAAGGTCTTACGGGTTTGGAACGAGAAGAGGGTGAGTAATTAATAACAACATTTTTTGTATAATAACGAGGCAATAATATTGGGTTCAAACAAAGTATCAAAAGCAAGTAATCATATGATGAAATAGATCATAAATATAATATAATATAAAATATATGCTGAGATACATAAGATGATTGTTTATATTATGTATGTTATGAACATGATATACTACAACAAATGCCTGTTGAGGGAAGCAATGGCCTGGTGTTGTTGCACTTTACAGCAGATAAAATCCTTATTAATTATATTGGCCAAATGACATTAAATTCAAATGTTCACTTTATCTTTAATATTTGGCCACTTCTTTACAATAAAAATGCAACAACCACAGTAATTTCTTGAATACGAATATGTGGAGATCAAAATAAGAAAACTCAAGAGCAAGGATTTAAACTTACTTTGAAATCGCAAATAAATAAAAAACAACAACAATTTGCATATTTAGAAACATATTGATGTATATAGGTCTATAAATAATTTACCTTACATATCTGATAAAATGCTACGTAATAAGCAACCCAAACTCACAGCATATCAGAGATGGAGTTTGAAATGCAATCTGTGCACGTAAATTGTAACATTCATGTGGACCAGAATTTCCTGTGAACGGTGCTGCTCTGAGACGCACGTGACGTGACATACACACATGGGTTAGTAATAAAAATTAAAGCGCATATACATAAACCCACAGGGCTTTTTTTTATTGAAGCATTTGTAAATTCACAATACCACTATGCTATAGAATAGTTTTTAAATGATTTTTTTTTTTTTTTTTAAGTGTGCATCCCTGTCTAATGGTCTAATGCACCACATTAGGTATTTTACCAGTTACTCTGCACGGGTAAATTCCAATCGAGGATTTTTTTTAATCGAGTACTTAGTAATTTGAGGAATTGTGACAGCCCTACTAAGCATATTTGTTAAATTCACCTTCTTCCTCCACCGGCCGTCAAAGCCATCAGATAAACTGCACCAATCTGTGGCATCAAAAACATTGTCTCCTGGGTAAAATTCCTGGAGTTCCTGTAAAACAAAAACGAGAGAGAACATTTCAAATGTAAATACATTTTTTTTTTAATAAAAGGTTATTTTGACACACATGGACATGAGATTTCAGCTGTTGTGTTTCATTTTTATTGAAATGTAGCCTATATGGATAACAAAAAAAAAAAAAATACCTGGCCCAAATTAAGACATTCTTCGAGACCAAATTCTCCAAGAATGTTTTTCACTTTACGTCTTGTTCTGCGGATCTTCTCCAACCCTCTGACTGGAAACTGGTACATGGTCTTACACCTGAAAGAGAATCACTTTGGTTTCCATTCCATTGATGTCATAATTGTGGGATTTTATTTTGATTTCTTGACCAGTCTTGAAAACCTATAGACTAATTATGCAAGACTACAATGCTCAGCAACAGATCTAGGGGTATTTCACGAAACACTTCTTAACCAATCACCTTTTGCCCGCATCACTGACTCACATCACTTTAGTTTTCAGTCACATACACACAATCTAATTTTTTACACCACCAAAAAAGAATTTTTGGAAAACATATCTCAACCTGGACTCTGTCTATAACAACAAGACACAGACAGACAATTATATATACACTTATGTTTTAATTGTTTGATCAAGACTGGTCAGTAGTCGTTGGATATAGAAAGGGACATGTCCCTAGTTAGCATTCTTTCTAAATTCCAAGCCCTTGTAGCTTGTTACAAACTTTTTTTTAGGAACTCTTTGGGCACCATGCGGACACCTACATCCGGACTATGGAAGTCGACATAGATGTAGCCTACCGCATAATGACTACAAATCAAAAAATATGTTGCTGTTAAACCCTGAATAACAGTGAATCAAAATGATTAAATAGTTGCATAATCTATTAGAAAGTAACCCAAAATATGAAATCCCACTTGAAGTATAACTTAACTAGTAGTGGTAATAAATATTTCCACTTGCATAATTCAAGAGCAATTTAATTTCACAACAACATGTCATATTCAGCACCCAAAAGAACACTACGATTTGTGGTTATTTTTATCTCATGACAATTACACATAGTCTCCCTCTTATATGAATTACTGTAATACCAATGTGGATTTACTTTTAAAGGTTTCGTCTACAATTGCCATCCTCAAAGTTTATTTTAAAAATGTGATTTTAAATATTTCTCAAATGGAAGTGTATTTTAGGCATTTTAACTAAATTACTGAATTAGTCAGTCTGAAAAAATAGGTGTGTTGTCTGTGCAAATTTGAAATATCTTGGATAATGTCACTTTTGACTGGATTAATTTCTGGAAGGCTTTTTTTTTTCATTATATATAATCATCATCATTCTCACTAACGAATTTGGGGGAGAATCGTGCTTAATTATGAAAAGAAGTGCAAAGAGACATTGCCTCTCCATCATTTTCTTTGGGGACATTTTTAAAAGTCCTATGATGTTCTTAATAGGTCATAAAGTGCTTCACATCTTGCCTGTTGCACATGCAGTGATGATACAATCTGATTAATTCAGTTCCACAGCAAATTATACAACACCTCTATAACGTTCTCTCAAACTTCGTATTCAAGAATGTTAGAAATCAACACGCTAACGTTATTACCCAACTACATTTAGTGAAATGGCAGATATTGTGTACGAATGCAAGAGAAAATATCACATCTCAGCCATGCATCACTCAAATACCACACTTTATGACAGCATGCGTTACATTGGCATAGCTTATGTGCCAACGCGAATATCAAATTCAAGCTGTAATTATTTATTTATTGCAAGCATCAACTGCGACCGGTGACCAAACATACACGCGCCCGCCAAAGCACACTAAATCTCGGAAACAATAGAGACGAATGTAACTCTAAACTAGCCAAATGTAATTCACCCAGCGCCTCGCATCAATAAGAATTCGACAGGAATGATTCCACCTCACAGAACAACCGATTCCCTTCTAGAACGCGCGATTCTAAATAACGCAGTGATGTCATAAAGTAACCTCTTCACAGCTCTCGGCTAATGGGCTTCGTCGTTCTACTTCCTGATCATACCGAACCCGCCGCAACAACTGAACGCAAAAGCTAATGTTCCCGCTGCTATCTAATTGTGAGGACATTACCTTTTTTCACCGCCACACAGACGCAGGGAGGGGATTTAGCTACTTTCACCAATCCGCGTGCTTGCCAAAACCGATGATAGAAGACGTGCAAGCGGTGTAGGATGTTGAAATAATAATTCTGCGCTCTCAACTATGGAAACCAGCAATGAAAAGTATTTATATTTTTTTGCAAGTAGGACTCATTTATTGTGCTTGCCGTTTAGAGTCGAGAAAATGGCGCATTGAACAACTGGGAAGTGACGTCAGGGAATAATTATCATACTGTGTGACTGGCCAATCGAATTTTAGTATGCTTCAAATGAAAAAACTTTCTTATATATCACTCCTGCTGGTTTTCATGGGTAACCACTTGGAGTAGTATATACAACTTTTAAGTTGGGACCTAGTCTGGTTGTGGGGGTTTTTCAGACTTTGAAATATTCATCATGATTAGGCACTCATATAGAAGTGGTCTGGTCATGAGGGGGCGCAGTTTCTTGTAATTCACAGGCATAGCCACTAGATGGCAGCTTGAACAGACAGCTCGTTGCTAAGCAACAGCACAAGAGGGGAGGGGTTTTGTTGCTGAAGTCATATCACACCACTAGTCTTCACCCAATGGGTAATAAGTAACAGATGCTAGCAAAGACATGAAAAAACGGCTTATAGCTACTTGCAATGACGGGGCATGAATTTTTGAACAGTTCACTTCTGTTTTTTATTTCATGACAAAAAGTTACTTTAGACAACACATGAGCAGCCATTTTTGAAAGATTTGATTATACATTCCGTTCGCATTTTTTAAATTTAAAATTAAGTTCCGATCTAAAAAATATTTACAAATAATGCGTTTGCGAATTTCAGCAATTGTTTTTTTTTTTTAATTCAATGACCTGATAACATTTCAAACAATGATTACTATGCGTCATACATTAGTTAAATGTTTTTTATATCGGCGATCAAAATTTCTTTAAAAGATCTTCTAAAATCAGAGCTAATTTTGGAAATTTCTACGATTCTATATTGTATGTGAAAAAAATTAATGTTCGATGTTCTAGAAAATTATTTAATGTCGTTAAATAATTAGAAAATTATTTAAAATAAAAAAAATTCAATAATTATAATGGACAGATTTTTATTAAAATGTTACGTAAATTCAAGCGTCACCATTTCACTACAAAAACATTGCCCATAAATAAAATGGCATAGTCACACTAGGCTTGTGCCTCATTCTCTTCTTTTAATATGTATGAGAGCAGCAACGCGAATGTGCGAAAAAGTTACGTATTTCGCTGTGGACCAAAGCAGTTTGGCAAACCCCATTTTGCTAATTCATAATGAAAAACATTTGACCATCAATTGAACTAAATGTCACTAACCAATCTCTTAACACAATATAATATGCAATATACAATGCAAAAGACACAAATGTCCTTTATGGGTGTTGCGCAGCAGCTACTTTGCTGTGTATGTCTAGTTTCTGTTTGTATTTATTGATTTTTTTTTATTGCCTGTGTAGTGTATTCTGGTCACATATGGAAATGTTAGCCTTGTAATGACTTGTATGTACAATATTTCAACAGACCCTGTATTTTTTTTGTTCCTCTGACAGAAATGACAATAAACCACTTCACTTGACTATACTCTACTGAACAAGTAATCAGCACCCAGTATCAGAACTATCTGTTTTACACAACACAGTCTTACCAAAATATAGAAACACAAGCATTCAAAGATGGATTGTATGAATCGGAAATTTATTATCAAATTGAAGTTCATTTCACACAGTGCATTCCACAACATACAAATTACGATTATTATAATCAGTTGTTTTTAACATGTCTTTTTCTTATCTGGAGATGATCATGGACCTTCAAGATCTTTGGCAAAGTAAGATGAAACCAGTTCAGAATGTGAAATGTATAACCATTCTCCGAATACAAAAGTTGCATGGACTGTAAATACTAAATATACTATGCTCCAAAGTTATGAAGAGCTAATCTGAACATGTCGTTGGTGCAGACCCATTTATTATCTACATTCTTCAGCAAGAAGACCTGCTGAAAGCCCATAACTTGGTCCTGGTCAGCCTGTGAAAATACACAAAAACAATATCATTTTTCATGATTTTTTACAGCCAACATTGCAAGACATTTATAATAATAAATAACTATTTATAATTATGGTAGCTTGTTTCTGCCACTGAAAAAAAAGGAATTGCAACTTTTATCTCATAATTTTGGACTTTTATTATGTAATGTTGAAGAGCTTTTTAAGTAAACTGTTCGATATGCCATGAGAGTATCGTGATGTGTCCCGCGGGTTGTGTATCGCAGTTTTTCGGTTTGGAAATATATATATCGTCCAAGTCGATACTGAAATTTTAAAATTGTGACACTTAGAGCACAATCGTAAACACCTCAGATTGGCCGTTGTGTTCACACGCTCATCGGATACATTTTAAAACTGGCTTGGTTTCCGAAGTCAGTACTTTTTAACAACTAATAAACTAATTGAAATTCATTCAAATCCCATAGAACCGGAAGTTGCAACCGACTTTACTTTAGTGGAAACGGAATATTGAACAGAGAGCCTAAGTCCCTCCCCTTCCGGTCGACCACCATGGGACTATTTCGGAAAAATATTATATGGTAGTCAATAGCGAGAGACAACAAATAGTTTGATCTCGTTTATTTAAAAGAATTAAAACAATTTAAAAGACATAATACATTTTAAAGTCAAGAAAGTCGCAGTTTGATGTAAAACTGTTGAGGTATAAGACCTCAACTGAATATACGTAATTACATAGACTAAAAACCCAAAAGGTGCACATTTTCTCTCAGTGAATGGAGCTAACTTTAAAATTGCTTAAAAACAGACGCGATAGCTGATTCGAGCGAGAGATGTTCAACGGCAGCGTCCATCTTTGTAATGTAGGCTACAAAATCTGCTTCAAAAACCCAGCGCTGTCAACATCGTGTAAAGCCCGCCCCAACGTTTCTGATTGGCCCAGCGCTGTCATCATCGTGTAAAGCCCGCCCCAACGTTTCTGAGTGGCCCAGCGCTGTCGTCATCGTGTAAAGCCCGCCCCAACGTTTCTGATTGGCCCAGCGCTGTCATCGTGTAAAGCCCGCCCCAACGTTTCTGATTGGCCCAGCGCTGTCATCGTGTAAAGCCCGCCCCAACGTTTCTGATTGGCCCAGCGCTGTCGTCATCGTGTAAAGCCCGCCCCAACGTTTCTGATTGGTGCCGCGATTTCGGCGGACTGGAAATGGTTTTGAATGAGCTCTTTGCCAGACTAAAAAGACTAAGTTGTCTGGGTTTTCCCAGGCTAGACAAACATCATATAATTCAGGGTACAGTTCAGACGCAAAAAAAAAGATAAGTCTCTCGCCATTGACTACCATACATATTTTTTCCGAAATAAGGTCCCATGAGCGGAAGCGGAGGGGAGGGACTTGGGGCGTGTTCACATATCGCGTCTTTTGCGCGCTCAAGTTCGTTATTTCAAATGTAGGCGCGCGGTATGTGCGCTCATAAGGAAAGCGACGCGGTCACGGTGGGACACGCGTTTTTTTTCCAAGCGCGCCCGCGCTGCATGGAGATAAAAACATCTCAACTTTTCAGAATGCCGCAAGCGCACCATAAGCGCACGTGACAAGAACCGAACGGAGCACAACCGTTTTTCTTACTTTGTAAAAAAAAGAAAATGCGGCGCACCCAGCGTTTTCTACACGTTTTTAGGCGCTATTTGTGATTCCGGCCTCAGGCTCTCTGTAGAGGGCGGGGTTTACTTTAGAACACCTCCTCTCCATCCTTCACTCATAGCAGACTAACAGTAGGAGGGGAGTGGTTAAAGACATCCATCAAACTGATGTCATCAGAGAAGGAACACCATTCCAGAGCAGAAGCAAATTGTCAGATTTTGATTACAGTTTACCACAACAAACAAGTGTATTATCCCGCACGGATTAATTGTTCACTACAAGATGTGTTACCACTTACAATGGTAAATCAAAAAAAATAAAAATGTATGATGAATTGTAAACAAGCTCCCATATATAATATCAGTGGTTTTGAAAGGTATTAAAATGTGCCATTTTCTTTGAACAAAAACAAATAAATCTTCCAATTAATCAAAATTTTGACAAACAAACAGTTGCCTGATGAAACATCAGATTTAATAAATGCAAACTCTGATCACATCTTACTTTGAGCTGGCCCATTACCATACTCATGACACAGCTGTCTGGAGTCGGATGATGGTCCTGAGCTGTGATGATGTGCTGAATGCTCTGAAAGGGAAGGCTCTGCAGATAGGCACATTCAGTTAAATTTAGAAAGACAACTGTGCATATGACTGGAGTAAAATGAAGTAACTTACAGTAAGTTTGGTCATGATTGCTGTCTTCCCTTGAAATCCCTCCCCCTCCCAAGTCAAACAGGAAGCATCAGTCTAAAGGAGAAAATATACATATACCATAATCAGACATACAAGCACAGAATGGCATAATAGTAAGAGATTTCTATTATGCCAGAATGGCATAATAGAAAGAGCCTACATATGGATTAAATCAAAATAATTCTGGTTTACTAAACTTAAACTCATCGCGCGACATAATGAGGTTCAATGGCAGTCTTTTACTCGCAATAATTCACTTACATATAGGTCAGCGAGCTTCACGCGGTCTGAATCAAACTGCTGATAATAGTGTTGCACGAATCCGCTGCCGATTTGCTCCCACATCGGTTTCTCTGCCATTGTTTTAACCGTATAAAGCTCCCGCGCAAGTTTGAAGAGAATATTCCACGTGTAGTTGAAGCTGCAAAAAAAAAAAACCCACTGAAGATGAGCTGTTTGGTACAGTTAAACTAACGTATCGTGATTTTAGATAACATCGTGTGTAAAACATAATTGCTGTAGATATTATTTTTAAACTTACATGACCACCTCAGTGTGATGGCACGCTACCTGGGCTGAATAGTTTCGCGCCTTATGGCCGGAACAAGAAGTTACCGGCAGATCTGAGATCAGCTTTTAGCCACTGTAAAAATAAAAAAATAAAATAAATAAATAAAAATATTGCTTTTAGCAGAGTACATGAATCAGTGGAATTCAGATGTGGATTCATTTTTCAGTCTTATAAAATAAAGGCAGAACTGATACTTACTGAGAATTTTAATTAAGAGACATTTGTTTATTCAAAATTAAAAGTGAACTACACTTTTTACAGAATGTTAAA